TCCCATAGTGCATTATTAGTTGTACGACGAGGGGGGAGTGTGTTTGTTTTGCGGCGCTTCCTCCGGCCTCATGCCGGCTCTGGGGCTCTCTGGCGCTCCGGCTCTGGGACAGCACACCAGACAATCAGGCTGCGAACCACGATATGCTGTCTGCTGTATGGTTTTGATGGTGCTCTCCTCCAGCTCTCGTGAGGGCAAATCATTTGTTTAATTTGAACGTTTTGTAATGTACAAAGCAAGCAGAGAAGAGTAAGAAATTGCCGATTTAAGAAATTCAATTTAAGAAATTCAGCAGTATTTCGCGGCACGAAAAAATGTGAAACTTGACATAAGAAATTGAACGACATACGCTGAGTTTATAGCCCACAATAAGAATTCGAGGCTGGACAGGTCCTGAAATAAGCGTTTCTTAATTTCGGGCGCTAACTGTAGTATTGAAGCACCGGCCTTTTTCTGTTTCAATTTCATTGCTCTGAGCATGCTGAGGTTGTAGTAGCTCGCGCTCCCAGTTACAAGGCCCCGATCGCCTGCCCCTCCCTGAGAACGCGGGCTACCCTAGCCTGGCTAGCCCTTCTCCTTCGCCTCGAGCTGCGGACGTAGGTCGAGTCGATCTGCCGTAGGATTGCTTCCACCAGACGAGACGCGGCCTTGCGGGTGTCTTCGTTGTCATGGTTCAACACCTTCCGGGCGAATCGAAGTACGTTACGTCGTGTTGTTTCGTCCCTTCAGATAATCTTGTCAAAACGTGTGGCTGTGCTTCCAGCGTCGGGAGGGTAGCATGTAGCTCGGGTCTAAGCTCTTTTTTACTGGCTTTCAATGTATCTTGTTTCTCAGCACAAGACGTGAGCCATGGATATACTGCAAACCTCAAATAATCTGATCGGAGTTTATTAATGGCGTGGCACAACAAGCGGAACACTGCTCGAAATGTCGGCCAACAACTGCTGTGCTAAATAGCAGTCCAATTAATTTAGGGTCTCGTGCTGCACCTTGGTCGCCTCCGCCAGCTTGAGCAACCTCTCGAGCACCTCTCCGTCCTCTTCACCTTCAAACGCCGCCGCCATAACAACTCCCGCCTGGCCAGCGACACGCCCTTCCCCGGCCTCCCTCGTTCCGCTGCCAATCGGTTCCCCCGCTCTGAGGCTTTCGCTGCTGATGGTAGATTGCCCAGCTCTACCCAACTGCTCCATTGGGGCGTCCCATCGCCCCTCATTCACTGGGACACCCTCGAGTCCCCGGTGCTTATTGCTTGTGGAAGAGGCGGTCACGGCAGAAACCGGGGCTGCCGCTGTGGTTGTTGACGCCGCTGGGCTTACGCTACCGGCTTGCCCGGAGGGCGACGAGGGTTTCCGTCCGGTTGCGGTAGTTGCATCGTCGATATCGTCGTCGTCAGCGAGGCTAATGAGGAGATCGCTCGTTTCATTGTCTCCCATCCCGAACACGCTTCCACTCATCGTGCTCCCCTCCATGAACACTCCACCACCGCAGCCGCCTGTCTCATTGGCATCACCCGATTGATCGCGGGGATCATCCCCACTCCCGAGGGCAAGAGAATTGTCTCCCTCCAAGCCACCGCCGTTCCTCTTTTGGAGCGAGCTCTCTCCACTGTTCTCTGGCATCGCCGAACCCACCTCCACCTCCTCGACACTCTTTCTTCGCAGTCGGAATTTGCTGCCGACGACGCTGCCACCATCGCCACCGATCCCGCCATGAAGAACCACATCTCCCTTGCCTCTGAGTTCGGGATCGCCTTGCCTGGGCAACCTCGATGGCGGCTCCACAACAGACCGCAACACCCAGCAAGCCAGGCAGCTCAGCTCGGGGTCGTTGGGCCAGCGGCGGATGGAATCTTCGGCCACTGTAGCTTGTAGGTTTAGGGAGTGGAGTTGCCCCGCGGTTGAGGCATTGTCGTGGACGATCGCGGCTAAGGCGCTGACTCCGCACCTGGTGAGCGACGAGGAAAAGTCGTTGATTAATTCTGATGCTGATGCTGTCGATGTTTCGCCCAGCGTCTTAGCGAGGGCAGGTACAAGAACCCTTTCACGATATCGAAGTTGGACTCCTCCTACCTGCGTAGCTGCGCAGAGTCGGGGTGAGCGTCCACGGCACACCCCACCGCTGCCAGCCCCCCCGCCTCCACCACGGCCTCCTGAAACCGAAACACGCTCGGGTCCGAGTCCGAGTCCGAGTCCCCCTCTCCGGCGAAGACGGCGAGGGCCCAGCACCCGTACTCGCAAAGCAGTCTGTCTTCCTCGCAGAACCTGCTTTGCCATTTTGTTGTGTTGTCGTTTGGTTGTCGGTGATTTCACAGGAGGATCGGAGTGAGGAGGCTCGAAAGACGTGATCATCCTCGGGAGGGAGTCAGACGGGAGGGCAGGAGAACCATAGCAGGCTGCTGCGTGTCGTTCGCATGGCGACGGCTGCAGAGTTGGTTATTGTGGGGGGCGTGAGGGGCATCGTGACCGGCGAAAGTATGAAGAAGGGGAGGGCTAAGCGGGAGGACATTAGTTTGGCTTGTACGATGTTGTTTCTCAAGAAGTCAGCCCGGTTTGTCACTGGAGTCTGACCCCCTCAGTATATGGCCCAACTTCCGATGAGAGCACAAAGAGCTCGGACGCGGATCTACCTCACAGCTTTGTAGGGGATGAGGAATGGTGGGTTTGATGTTCTACGTTGGTCCCGTCGGCACAAGCCGCCTTCGGCTTCTTCGCCGTCTTAGTCTAGGCGTCTGGGTTGGAGAGAAACTGTCCAGCCGCCCATTGAGCCACTGCCGTACACATGAGCAGTGGCCGTGGCGGCCTGCAAGCCGGACGGTTGTTCTCAAACGATATAATACCATGTTGGTGGAACAACCTGGTCGCATGAGGAAAAAAATCGACTTTTTGTGACAGAAGGTCATCAACCCATGAGCAAGTATCGGATCCTGACAGACGAACAGCCGTTGTCGACTCATTGCGCACAGCATTGCTTCGGCGAGAGTCTCAGGGCGAGTGAGTTCAGTGATTCTACGACACAGGGTCAGCTCTATCGAGGGCAAAACACCGTCGTGGGGGGTTCGTTCCCTCAAGCGCAAGAAACGAGAAGGAAGTGGGCGCACTCAAGGTCGATACCCATATTATGAATGGAAACAGTCGACTTTGCACCAACAAGTCACGGGTGGTGGCTTCACATACGCTCAACAACCAACAGGTTAGAGTTCCGCTCGTGAGGACAACACGGCCACCGTAAACGGTTCAGAAGGACTCAGCAAACACGGCGGAATGTGAGTCCACATTCGAGGCATGCAGACTACGGCGTAGGGAAATAGAGTCACCTATGCCAACCGAAAAAGCCGAGAATATTGGTTCAACTCGTTGCAATGGACACATTCAGGAGGGAACCCCCACGAGCTATTTAGCTCATGCGAAACCTGGGGGTACGAGGTCAATCAACTCTTTTTTTGAAGCAAGAGCCTCCACGAGGGGCTATTCACTATTCACCACGAGCTAGGTACGAAGGGCGAGCTCTGACAGACTCACTTGCTGACAATGAGAACGAAGAGCTCGATTCCCCGGCACTCCAACAGACCCTCCCGCGACGCCGGATCCTTGACAGAGCACACAATTCATGAACGAGTGTGTACAAAAGACGTTTGCGTTGTTGATTCGCGGGAGGACACAGGGCGGCAGTAGGGAGCCAGCACACGCAACACCATGTCAAATACTGGGTGAGAGGTGCGCGTAGGAGGAAAAAGCAGGCATGGAGGATTGAAGAGCGCGGTCAGGACACAGTCATGGGGAGATGCTGCCTCTTAGGTCCTTGCTTCTGTTCCCGTTGCCCGGTTGCTATGTGGACTCCGTTGATTTCCCGGTATCGTTCTAGTTTCTAAACCTACGGCTGTACCGTGAGGATACAGCAGCCAACACAGGAATGGACCGCATCGCGAAACGCACCTTTCGCATCAGCGTAGCTGCAGCCCTCAGCGCCGCTCGATGGACCTCTAAGAAGCTATGCACACCGGCCGCTCCCTCGAAGTACGCCCCTCTTCGAAGGGTCGAGCGCAGCAGCTCGGACATCTTCGTTGCGCCTCGGACAATCCCCATCCTTTCCTCGGGAGTCAAAGAGACAGGAGCAGCATGTGGCGGTGGTGCTGCTACTTCGGCCTCGTCGGCCTCGTCACCGCGATTCGCCGGCAGGTCCTCCAGCGGCCTCCTACGGAGCAGGCGAAAGAAGACCGCGTAGGGAGTAATCCCAATGAAAACGTGTAGTCGGGTCATCTCGTGAGTCCAAATTGTGCTGTCCGAATACGTCTCCTAGATAATATTTTGAGTGATTCGTACTCCACATTTTTCCGTTCACACCCCTTTTCACTCCCTTTGGACTCTCATAACTGTGAGTAGACCGCCCTCTGTTGACAAGGTCCTTCGTTGCTCCGCTGCCTATCGTTCTCTCGTATTTTCTATGGCTCTCTCGTTTCGGGGCAACCGTCAGAAGCACATGCATGAACAGGGGCGCACACAGTGTAGGAGGTTTCTCAGCAACGCTGTCGAAGCCAGAAAATAAGCAAACCATTCACTTCCATGGATTGAAGCCAACGAAAGCATTTTGTAACATGTCGTAACGCATCATACCGCCTCCGTTTTGGAAGCCTAACGAGAAGAAGAGTGCCTGTACACGCCTCGTCACCCCACCTCTCCAGGAATCCCTCTTGTGGTTCGACCATCCACAGCACCTTGCCCTTCCCATTTTTCCCTCTCTGGGGGTGCTTCTCCATCACCTCTCCCCAGTCCGTTGACAGTGTGACTATCGTGCCCATCGGAAGAACATCTACCACCTGACTGACGTTATGGTTGAGGTTACGCAGGTGTTCGGAGGCAAGCGGGGAAGCCAACCGCCCGTGGGAATACTGCATACCAGGAGTATTGAGTTCAGAAGGCTTGTTAGTGAAAGATATGACCAAGCCACAGCCGTGCTTCGAAGCGACGAATGAATCGAACAGTGAAAGTATACTACTCTGTATTCTACAGTAGTCAATTTATTTTCGCGTGTGAGGGATGTGGTGTAGTTCTAGGGCTATGTAGCGTTGATTCCAAGGACTCCCCGTCCAATCTTTCGCGTATACAATAACTATATTATCTGTAGGCGGAAATATGTGTGTGCCCGTTCTTCCCGTCACCAGAACACTCCGAGATGACGTCATATCATACTTCTCTGGTTGTTGAAAAAAACGCAGGTGTTCCGTGCAAATATGCACGGAGCACGTGGCGTGCAGCAATAATGTAGAGGTAGAAATTTGAATTTTCGCTGTTTTAGTATTTGGAGGTAGTCATGTGATGGCACGTTGCCATGGCCATTTGGCGTCATCAGAAGTTGAGTTGGATTCCGGCTGCATGATGTACAAGCAATGCGAAAGGAAAACAGCACCAAGGAGAACAAAGGAATTCAACGACAACCTGCATCATCTGTGATCGGACCAGCCCCATACAGCATCGAGACGATTCTAGTGCAGAGGTGCACATCACGTTACAAAACAAGGAGGTCTTCTCACCTCATCCGGCCGACAAGCCGGCGTCTTGTACACTCGGCACTTGAACCCCTGCTTAACCTTCATTGCCCATAGCTCCGCCAGTGAATCGCTTTCATGAGGGGAAACCTCAACACGTACCGCCTACGGGAACCGCGAGGACAGAAAAAGATCGGCAATTGCGCAAGAGTCGGGGCGCAGAAGAGGCGTCTCACGCATGGGAAACAGAATGCCACAGGAGCGGTGTAGGAGTAAAAATTCTCTGAAACATCACATACAAACATTCCTATCGGTGACGCGGTGTGTAGAGATGTGTGTGTTGGTGTGGAATCTATGCCGGGTTAGGGTTCGGACGGCAGCAGCACTGCGGTAAGAATAACTTTGAAAGTCGTGCTAGAGCTCTATGTGTCTTATTTTCTCAATCGATCGAGTATGGACTTCGTTGCACATGCATCGCGAACATCTGAAGCCCGCTGACGCCACTTACTGTTCCACTCACTAGAGTAGGGTATTTGGCCAAACCACAGAATATTTATCATTTATTTCGAGCCCCGTCCTTTCGCACGGCAGTCGTTTTCTTTGTTTGGCCCGTAGCCCCTAGACTAGACATTGTCCCGTTGAGACCACCGAGCTCCAGACCTTATTTTCCCTAGTTGCCAAAGACATGGGAAGCAGTTGTTGCTCGTAGTACTCTCTACAGCGCTCGAGCTCTCGCTTGGCTTCAAGCCCTTTCTCGATGCTTGGCCATGCCGGATAGCGCTCCTGCTCCGTTCGTACTAGACTTCTGAGCATGGCTGACACCTGTTGGTGGTGCGATGACAGAGGTCTCGCAACTCGTACTTGGCAAACCGGACAGCGCCTTACTCTATTGTCCGAAACGACCTGAAAAGGCTAACACAGTTGTTGTTGAAGCTCGGTACCTCTGCCACAAGCCTGGACGGCAGGAGCCCCTTGAACGTAACGTAACACACATGTGATACTTTCCGAATCCTGCTTGTCATTGTTCGCCTTCGTGTCATATTGACATCGTTGTTTTGATTGACTCGGAGTCGCAAGAACTCGGGGGCTAACGGACATCTAGCAACGATAATCGAAGTGGTGGGGCGTTCAAAACCTGCATGTACCGGCAGTGAAGTGGTACGCGCAGCTCAGATGAACCTGCGATTTTTTTACTCTCTCATACCCGTGTTTTCTCAGTGTACTCCAGGATGTCGGCGAGCACTACAGTAGTCTACATAGACGCATTACATGGCTCAACCAATTTTCGGCTAGTATATGTGTGCCCGACAACATGGGGCCATACCTCCGTAGGTCTTGCAAAGTATAAACCACCGTCGATGAGACTGGCGGTACGTATAACTGGTGCGCCGACCGCATCGTCGTAGATCCCTTCGATGTCTTCAAGCTCCAATTCGTGCTTTACGTGATTGAGGAAGGGCGCCCAAGCAGACTGAGCGTGGCCCGCATGGATACGTACAGAAATCTTGACCTTTGCCAGGGTAGAAGATGGGGGAGGAAGGTACGTACATACAGCAGTGGCATTGGGGCTCTTTGAAAATGTACGGCAGCTGCAATGGCAACCATTCCGATGCCTACAAGTAGAGCGTGATAGAGTTTGAGGACTAGACTGTTTGGCAGCCTCAGCCATCTGGCGCGTGCGCCTACGGCAGCTATTTGGCATCCTTGTGCTCGACTACCACAGGTATTCTAGACTAACAATCAATAGTCGCTCGTGATTTTGTGTTGAAAACGTCGGGGATTTGTCGCACAATCCTCGGACAAACAAGCACGGAGAGTTGATGGCTTAGAGGGGCTCTTTACAGCTCTACGCCAGCGCCAGCGCAATTGCTTACCTGAATCGACCGATCTCCCTCTTTGAAAATCGTCACAGAGATATCTTGGAACAAAACTCTCTTGTGCATCTCCTGCAGTAAATTGATTCCCCGGAGTTATCGTTGTACTCAGAATCCACTCGTCCTTTACCTAGCGGGAAATATAGATGGACCCTCTACCGATGGCATCAAGCGGGAGCTGCTGCACAAACGAACATAGGATACAACTAGCCGTCCGTACCTCGGCACTGTCGAGAAAGGACACGAAACGGCATTAATTCCGCCGCACCAGTCCCGCTCCGCTCCCCTCCCCTCCCGCACCCCGAAGGCCAATTTGTATTGAACTCCTTGAGAGGTTCTCTCGCCTGTGCCAGCGGGAACCACCCTCCGCACCAATTGCCTTTCACACACTGCTGTCTGAGCGACCGGAGCGACCGAGCCACGTGCGTACGGTGCATTCGGTGTGGGTGCCAACGAAGTCCCAGGGGAAGAATTCAGCACTGCAGCATATGGCCAGCAGTCCTCAGAACTCAATCCTGCCACTGCCACTGTTTGTAGAGCAAAGAGGGACACCGGCGAGGTGGTACGGCAGGGGGAAAGAGGACGAGGGCTACGACTACAACCAGCCATGAAAGAAGATGACGATGGGGGGTACGACATGCGAGGGAGCACCGGTACAGGCTCGGCTGGATTCGTGGCTGGAAGCAACGTGGGCGTGCTGAAGTCGGTGTCTGGCACGAGGTACCAGGCGGTGGTATCAGAAAATGCCCGTTTCTCCGAGGTGAGGCTTCGCTGCCAAGATGCGGACGGATTGTCCCGTATCCCCGTCTGCTGTATTCCTGTACTGCTGCTGTATCCCGGAACCGCGAGCTACCCACATTTTTGTAAGATGTTCTCCATTTTCCCTCTGTCGTCGGTGCACTTTGAAAGCGTATGCATATAAATGAAGAAACTGTCGGGGCCACATTGTTGTGCCGTTGGCTGCCCCGCTTCCGTTTGGAACGTATGAATGTTCTTGCTCGTTTGGATGTATGTTATGGATCGAGCGCCGTTTGAATTCTGGGCCGGCCATGATAGGGTTTTTTGGCCTCGCCCTCTGGTCTGACGTGACGTCCATCCTATTCGTTTTGAAAACGAGTGCGGGCTAATGCCCAGAGGAAAGTGCGGGAGATGTGACTCTCGATTGAAGGACAAAGCAGGGGACAGGACCGTTGTAGCTCCTGTTTGAGGGAGCTGGTCTGCCCCCACATGTTCAGTCTATCGTTCCCATGAGAGCAAGGCAACAACATGCATTGCTATCCAAATAGATTAACGAGCAAGCGAGTCTCCGCGGTCTTTGATCATTTTCCGTGGCACTGACCGCGACGGCTGACTTACAATAGGACAAAGGCCGGTCGCTTGAGCACGCCGGGCGACAAAAAATGTGCAGGCAGTAGCCTTAGCAAGGTTAAATATGAAGTAAACATGTTGGATAAAGCATACAATCGGGGAAATTGGGGAGGGTTAGGGTTATCGATAGGGTCTGCGTACCCCCTCCCTGTTCCATGTCCTCATATTTCATTTCTCGTAAAGGCGATTCTGTACAAGGCATGTCCCGTTCAGCAGTACGTGTCGACCGCGCTACCCGTCTAGCCAATGAAACTAAGTCAGTCCGATACAACGGGAACCCCCCCCCAAGAAATTACGGCCAGTCCGCGGGCTTCCCCGCCGGGGGGGGGGG